ACCTGAGCAGCCTTTAAAAATCAGAATTCACGATGTCATGCCACGTTTCAACCCTAAAGAAGATGAAATAAGTTTATTTCTGGTGTTATTTGAGCATCAAGCTAAAATAATGAATATACCTGCTGAAAATCAAGTGACTCAACTTATTTCATTGCTGCCTCCTGACATTGTTCATCTTATTGGTAGAGAACCAGAAGAGGATACGAAAAAGTATGAATATGTAAAAACTTTACTGTTACAACGATTTAAATTGAGTGCGGAAAAATTTTGACAACTGTTTAACCAAAAATCTACTGAATGTACTTGGTATGATTTCTACTATGAATTAAAGAATTATTTAGAAGGATGGCTTAACGGAACATTAAACATTAAAACTTTTGAACAGCTAAAAGATCTCATGCTGGTTGATCAAATTAAAAAGCGTACTTATCCTGATTTCAAAGAACATTTTATGGATCAATGGACAACCATCATTTCACCTACTGAAATGGTTAAGAAAATTGAAGATTTTGAAGATGTGAGAAAAACAATAAAACCAAAAATTTCTGCCATCAGACTGAGAAAAAATTAACAAAGGATCATTTAAACTGCGTTATGATATTTTGTGAAAAAAAATAGAGCATCTGCTCCTTTTAAACATTCTGATAAATGGGATGATTCAAAATACCAGAAAGATCACCGACAAGAAGAAATCAATTTCAAAGCAAGAACAAGAAAATTTATATGACAAAAAATTGACCACGTTTGTTTCGAGTGTGGGTCATACGAACATTTTAAGCCTCAGTGTCTTCGCTTAAAACCAAATGAAAAGGTAATTGTGTATCGAATGATGATTTTTTAAAACATATACAATTAACGGTTTAGTTAATGGGTATGAAATGTCTATTCTTCGAGACACAGGAGCCACTGTTGATGTTTTCTCGGAAATACATAGATAACGCAAAAATGACTGGGGAAATGTCTGGGTACATCTTTTAAATGACCATTTAGTGTGTCTCCCATTAGCGGGAAGTTGAAATAAAGTTGCGAACTGGTCTTATAAGACAAAGCAGCTGTTACAAATGATTCCGGCAGATTCATGGCAGATTGTATGGGTACAAACTGCCCAATTGTTCAAAAATAAATCATTCTTAAATTTAGAAAAAATTAATGCGGTTTTGACATGGTCTCAAGTAAAAAGATCTCATGAAGAAGATCGAAGTAGAGAAACCGAAGTGAAGAAACTAGAAAAACTGACGTTTATTGAGACTGGCGAAGATATTTTACCGCAAGCTTATGAGGAAGACAAGGAAATTAAGAAAGTGATTAATGTTAATTCAAAGGAATTAATTGAATCTCCGCATCAAAGCAGAGATCTAGCGTCATTGCTGAACGAAGCTAAAAAGAAAATTCCAGCAAGACAAATGATTCCAAGTAAAAAAAAAACGGATTGTTGGTGAAAAGGAAAATAGATAAAAATGGAAATGAAAGGGAATTAATTGTTATTCTGGAAAAATATAGAAATTAAATAAAGTCATTATGTCATTATAGCACATCTGTACATTTAGGTATCGTCAAAACTAAAGATAGATTAACAAGATACTTTTACTCGCCTAATTGCTGTAAAGAAATAGAAGAGTATGTTAAAACTTGTGATCCATGTCAAAGAGTGGGAAAATCTAATGATAAAGCCAAAGCACCTTTGACTTTAGTACCATTTATTGCAGAAGTATTTTCAAAAATTAACTTTGATGCATGCGGCCCTTTACCAATAACACCAAATGGCAATAGATATTTAATTACAGCTGTTTGTTTAGCTTCAAAATATCCGGATGCTGTACCTGTTTCCTATTATTGGCACAATGTCAGTAATTGAAGCCATGTTACAAATATTTAGTAGAATGAGTTTCCCGAAGAGAAAATCAAACTGATCAAGGGTACTTCCTTTATGAGCAATCAGCCATTGAATTTAAAGAAAATTTGGAATAAAAGTAACTAGAAGCTCAGTACAACCATTCGCAGAGCAACCCTCTTGAAAGATTCACCGAACAATCAAACGAATTTTAAAAGTTTTATGTATCGAAGCAGCCCCTGTGTGGGAGAAGCAAGTTCCCGCAGCTCTATTTGCTTTAAGAACAATAACGCATGAGACTATGGGATTTACACCTGCAGAATTAGTATATAGCCGAAATCTCAGAACACCAGTAACATTACTATATGAACAATGGATGAATCCTGAAGACGAAGGAAATAATGTTGTTGAATACGTTTTTCAATTGATAAATCAGTTTAAAAGGTGCAAAGAGCTGGCTACAGATAAAATGCTGGAAATGCAAACCAAAAGAAAAAAGTGTGGTCCGATCGTAAAGCTATTAAAAGAGAATTCTCTGAAGGGATTAGTATTAGTTGTATCAACGAGTAAACCAAACGAGACTAGCAGTTGAATGGAAAGGTCCTGGGAAGGCTGAGAAGAAGAAATTATCCGAAAAAATTATGTTCGGAGTTTCGAAGAAAAAAAAAAAGACTGTAATCAAGTCTACCATGTTAACATGCTAAAACCTTATCATAGGCGAGCAGAATCGGTTAAACCTTTGATTGCAGAGATGAACCTGAAATGGATGATATGGAGAAAATTTCCCACAATTGACTCTGAACCACATTTTTGATTTTGAGGACATTAAAGAAACAGGTCCTTAAGTGATAAGATAAATGAACAACAGATTCAAGACTGCATGATATGTGCTGATGTTTCAAAATTTTTCTAATAAGCCTGGAAAAACTCATTTAATAACGCATGATATTCAATTGACAGAAAACCTCCCAATCACTGTAAACCATACGAAGGTCTCCTAGACAAAGGATATATTTAAACAGAAGGTTAAAACGCTTCATAAATAATTGAAATAGGAGATTCGATTACATTCTCCTATGATTTTAGTGTGGAAGCAGGGGAGGGATCCAAGACCTTGTATCGACTATTAATAAATTGACAAAAACACAATTCTTTCCCTAAACATCGAAACAACGAATAGAAACGGTTAGCAGGCACAAAAATATACTCTTTTGGATTTAACAAAGGGATACTGGCAAACCTTTACAACCTAATGCTCAAGATTAGCCACTTTGTTACAAAGTTTTGGCACATTTAGACCTCTACGGATGCTTTTCGGACTTAAAATGCACCATTTTCATTTAGTAAAATGATGGCTGAAATCCTTAAAAGTTGTGAAAACTGCTGTTCCATATTTAGATGACGTGGCAATCTTTTCAAAACAATAGGGAAACATCTAAGTCACCTGAAAGCCGTTTTGACCAAAATAAAGGATGGCTGGTTTAACTATTAACAAATAAAATGTTAAATTTCAAAATAGATAAATATCTAGGCATATTGTAGGTCCGTGGTATAAGAATGCCGAGTGAAGTGAAGTAAAAGCTTCTTGATTTCCAGCATCCATAAAAAGTCAAGTCAGAGCATTTTAGGATTAGTGGGTATTATAATCATTCCCATTTCTCATTGTAGCAGCACCTTTAACAGAAACTTAAAGAGAGGGAAAATAAATTGGTCAAGAGTGCACAAAGCATTTGAAGAAATAAAGGAGAACTGTCTCAAGGCCTACTACAGCACCGATTTAAATAAGGAGTTTATTTTGCCAACTGATGCTTCAAACTCTGGTATGGGTATTATTTTAGCTCAAAAAGATGAACGAGGCAATGAACATCCAGTATTATACCTCAGTAAGAAGTTTACAGAAACTGAAAAAAAGTAAGTACTCTACCACAGAAAAGGAATGTGCCACCATAATATTTGCTGTAAAGAAACTTCGATGTTATTTAGACGGCCATACTAAATTTCTCATCATGACTGATCATAATCCCCTAGTTTGGCTCAAAAATAATGCGAGTCTAAATCCGTCACGGCGCGCAATGAACTGGAAGTTGATCTGTCAGCACTATCCTCATCTTCAGGGCAGATGTTTTTATTTTATTCGCCTTATAATTCCTTACTAAATGTAGTATTTCTTCTCGATGTACTCCGTCTTTGATATGATTTAAATCAAATTCCTCATCATTATAAATATCACGAATCGCATCAAATAGTTTTTTGGTTGCAATTTTAATTTCAAACTATGCGTAATTTGTGCTTTACGCATGCGCGTGTTGAAAGAAATGTTTAATAAAGTAAATAAGTACATATTAAGGGTTTTTTTTTTTTTTTTTTTTTTTTTTTTAAATTTGATACCTTTTAGATCATATTGTGTTTATTTCATAAATTACAGTTTCATATTTTTAATTTTATAATTTCTGCATGCCATCTTACCAGATTTAAACTGATGATCTATAATCCGGAATTGCTGAAGTACCGACGAGTCGGGATTAAAGACTTTTGACTGTATTTATAGTTGTCTTTATGCAATGCATTGCTCAAATCAAACTTTAAGCATAATTTATCTTGAATTTTATTTCTTTTCTTCTGGGATAACATATGTAAGCAAAATTTGAACAATGGGCCTGTTTCAATAGGGAGATGCTTTTATAAAGAATTCAAAATTTTTTACAGATTTAATATTTCAACGTACCTTTAACCCTCTTAGCATTATGTACAGAAAATTCCATTTAGAAGGCTGGCTTCATTATTACGCATGAAAATTTCTGCCAGCTTTTAATGTATCCGATTTTGGTTTGAATGTATATTGGAAGAAAAGGAATTAAAGTGCAAAATGAGAGTCATTTTTTTAATTATAGAAAGGAAATATCATTTATTCATGATATTTTGAGAAGCTTTGAAATTTGAGAGCGAAACTTATAATGTTCAGAGGGTTAAAATAAACAATTTCATTAAGTACGAGTTTCCAGAACTTTTAGATTAGTCTGTGGATTAATAGATGAAAGCAAACTGATTTCTGAATGAATATTTAATTAGAAAATAAATGTATTTTGATTAAAAAAATTGTCCATAAATCTGTGTGTTTCTGCTCTTACTATTTATGAAGTATTTTAATATGTAGGTTTTTTGTTTCCAGATTTGCGGAGGATTGTGTTGCGGCAGGAAAAAATCTTCATAATTTCAGATGAATTAAGATCTTGACACATATTAAAGGTATTTAGCATTTTACTTTTTTTTTTTTTTTATTTAAATAAAGGATAAGGAAAACAACTTAGTTTAAAATCAGCTTTTTTAAATTACAATTTTTGTCACCTTTCTATTTGTTTCTTGGCAATTGTATGGCTTTCTTATTTCTCTTTACTAGTAACATCTTTAGCATATGACCGTGGTTATTTAAATTCTTTCTGCAATTTATCATCAAACTAAACAGTTCAACTTATATGCTTTCATAAATTGCATGTATGATAAATAGAATATTCTCTTCATTCATCTAAGCAGTTTCCTGTAAAACAAGACAGCTTAATTCACTTTAGAATTCTTTTTGAACTGTGTCATAAGTGATGGCAAATGTTTATCATTAATTGTCACTTTTTCAAAAATATTTTAGTAGATTTCAAGGTTTTGGAAAACACCAACTTCCATTTCAGTTTATATGCTTCTATATCTCCATGTTCACGAGTTCACCATTAGCTAAGTTCTTAAGACTGCCAAACATGGCTAGTTCAACATGAGTTCAAATCCTGATTAACGATGAACAGGCTGGGAGCATAGTTTTCGTGATTACTCCTATGTGTAATGTGAATATGAACAAGTTTCCTTTTTAAGACCTGCTATAAAGGCATTGTTTTTCTTACGCCAATAATCCTAATTTGCTTTGTCGTAGTATAAAATTATCTAGTTCCCTCTTTCTCCATGAAGATTCTTTTTGAAAATATGTATATTTGTTAGCAGCATTTTTTTCACATTTGAGATATATGAAAAGTAAACTAAGGAGTAATGTGGAAGCATCTTGAATATACAGTATTTACTCAGAAATAAAATCCCTTTACATTTCAAAATAAATTTTTTAAGAAACAATAAGAACATATAATATTTAAGTTACAGGAAGTAGGCCCTCTGTTAGAAGTAGCAAGAGTCAGGTGTAATAATAAGCAGCGTGAAAGATAGCAGAATGCCACTTTATCAAGATGCTAATTATTACTAAAGAAAAGTATTAATGAGGTATGCATGCTTTTGTTGTGGTTATGGTTCATGATTTTGAATTGAAATTATAGTGTTTTGATAATATTTAATGTTGAAGTAAAAATTGTGAGCTGTTTTGGAACTGTATTTTTTATGGTTTCAATTTTTTAAATCAGTATGCAAATTTAAGAAACAAAAATGCCGGTGAATATTTGATGAGAACATGGTTCTGATTAAAATTCATTTGTGTGCAATTAGAATGAAAGGAAAAATAGCTAATTAAATGCAGTATTTTGCTAGATAGGAAAAAAATAAAGAAAATTAATGATTCATTATTACATATTTCTTTTTACAATTACTTTAGGTCATTGTGATGGATGCAGGTCTAAAGTTATTCAAATGGATTACAATTATAATGATTAGTGGTAGTTAATACATATACACAACAATTACCTATCCACAGAATTGCTTATATACATAACAATTACCTGTATGGTTTATTTAGTATTTAAACACTAATTATTTTATATAGTATGAAAGTTAATTTTGTTTCCTATCATTCTGTATTTTATTTGTAACCACTACTTAACTGTCCCATTTTTTCCCAAATTTGATCCAAAAAATGTCACATAGTATTTTATAACATTTCTTTGTTCATTTTACATTTTTTAGTAAGAAATGGTATTAAAATTAAAATTTGTAATATTTTTAAGCATTTAGAATAGCTTTTTTGCAGCAAATAAATTATTTTCCCTATAAGTTGTCTTTCTTCCTGCATCTGCACCTGACAGGAAAGTGTACATTTATGATTGTGTATATATAAAAAATACAATTACTTTACAGTTATGTTTAACTTCAATTACTATTACATTTACTTAAACTTTTGGGGGGGTTGAGATCTGAGTTAGTGTGATATATCTTAAAATGATGCGAAAGGCACAGTCCCAGATAAAAAAAATAGAGTCTCTTTGCTAATACTTTTGCTGTTTTCATTTTACTTTAGTGAACACATCACACCATCACTTCACAATAAAATCATAAGATCTATACTGTCCAATTATTTATTTCCAATTGACGTTTGTGACCACAATCATTTAGCACTCTAATCATGCCTATTTCTAGAGCATTTACATTTTTGATACTTTTGCGATAGGAAGCGACCACAGTGAAATTAAGTTCAAACAGAATAAAGAGAGAAGCTCAAGTGCCTAGTTATCCAGTATGGAAGCTCACGAAGCTAATTGAAGCTATGTATCCAAGAATATCAATGAGAATGATATTTTGGTATTCAAAAACTTGTGAATGTGTTACTTGACTCTGTTTGCATAAAAAATGGTTCTTCAGAAGGGTTTTATCAAGCTGTTGAAGATCTTTTCATGGAAAAAAATTGCATTAAGAAATCTCGTTAACTTTGAATGTGATAATTGGGCCACTGTAGAGCCCACCAAGGGCCAAGTGGTAAAGACGCTGAACACCAGTAGTTTGGATCCTGGTGAATGGGCTGGATGTATGGCATCTTTGTGGTTTTACCCATGTGTAATGTGTACATGAGCCAGTTTCACGTAGAAATTCCTCCATGAAGGCATCCCTTTACTTAGGCAGATAGCCCTTGACTGTTTTGCCATAAATTAACCATAATAACCAAGCCACTATGATATGTACTAAGAGCGAGTCTAGTCATTGTGAAAAAAGGATGTGCCATCAGCATCTAGCATGGGATGCATTTGATCTTCTTTTGCTTGTACTAGTCATTCGGTCATCATAAATATTTATAAAAGATTGCTCATTAATTTTTCCTCTTAGGAAAAGTTCAAAGGGTTATAGATACTGCTTAACATTGAAGCCAGAAATTAGCACAAACACATTGGCTAGTCCGTGGCTTGGCATAGTTTATTTGATTATGGCGAAGCATGCTACGTCTATCTGCCTAAGGGAGGGATGCCTTCTTGGAAGACTTCTTAAGAGAAATTGGCTCAAATCTACATTTGCACATGGGAAAAACCACAAAAATGCCCTTGCAGGCAACCCAATCCATATGCCTGGAATCGAACCCAAGTTGAACTACCAGTGTTCAACGGCCTAACTGCTTGGTTGCTGGTGGACATCCATGACAAGGTAACAAAAATTATTATTCAACAGTGTTATGCATTAGTTCTTTATTTTCAGTGTCGATCAAATATGGACAGAATGTTTGGTGGAGGGAATATTTGCAATACTCTGATCACCCAATGAATTAAGCATATTTTGCTGTTTTTAGTATATGGAATGGAGAAAATAAGCTGTCTGAATATTGAATTTCAATCTGAGGATTTCAAATTGCATTTATTTCGTACAGTGGTTTCAAATGAATATAAAATAGTCTTAAGTTTCTTCTTAAAAGGTAAAGTCATTACTAGCTGATTCATACTGATCCAAACAATGCAATAAATCATAAACATCTGAATAAACTATACAGTCAAAAGTCTTTAATCCGGACGTCCATAATCCAGACCTCAAAGCTACAAACTTTCTGTGCATGAGTAAACAAATAATGTGTTTACGCATGCACATATCTTTACGCTTGCGCATAATACGTTTATGCATGCGCGTTTAATGTATAACAGACGGTATAAGCTAAGCTAAAATTATCTATTTTAGTTAATGTTGCAGATTGCATTGTTCCTTAATCTTCAAATTGGATCCGGCTTATTATTTTTTGCAGACAGTTAGAGCAATTTTATAAAAGTAAGCTTGAACTTTCAATTATGTCAAATAAAATTTTCTATTCTGGAGCTGCCAAAGGATCTACAAAGCGAAAGCATGTTTCGATGTCAATCAAACAAAAACTGGAATTGCTGCAAAAAATGGATAAACGCATGAAGAAAGTGACAGAGAGGTTAGTGAAAACGAAAAAAATTCGATTGACAAGTTAGTCGGTTTTCTCGGCACAGCAATTGCAGGACTTGAACAGAGGAACTTTGTAACTGAACAAGAAATTATGTCTGTTTATAGAATTAAAGAGAAAGTATTAGCACATGAAATGAAACAACTTAAACAACTTACATTGAAAGAAATGTTTAATAAAGTAAACAAAATAAATATTGAGCTTTTATATATTATATATATATAAATTGTGATACCCTTTAGATCATAATTGCTCTTTATTTCATAAATTACGGTTTCATACTTTTAATTTTATAATTTCTGCATGCCATCTTACCAGATTTAAACTGATGATCTATAATCCGGAAAAACTGATAATCCGGAACCGCCGAAGTCCCGACGAGTCCGGATTAAAGACTTTTGACTGTATTTGGGATATATGGTCATTGTATGGGCTTAGTAAATTCAACACCTCATAGTGACAGTGAAAGCAAATTTAAAACAGTTGTTTTAAAAATTTCTTATTGAATTTAATATTCAGATTGAAAAGAGATTTCCTTTAAATATTGAAGAAACTGTTACTAGTGGGACTGTTTGTGATCCACTAGTGGTACATGATCATGCCAAATCACTATCCTCAGTTTAGAATTTAGAAATATATTTTCTTCACTATGTTTCTGGAGATAAATTAGATCTAGATGATAAATGAACATCGTTTGATTTATACAAAACCAAACTGGAGTTTTGATGTCTGTTATGTAATGTGAGGGATCACCTTTAATAATTTGAGATTTTATCTGACTTTAGGTCTATTCTAACTATTTTACCCCATGTATGTTTGCGCTGATGTTTGTGGATGAGGTGGTCAAATTATACATACTATATGCTTGAAACACAATTTGTTCTGAAATGCAGTAAATGATTCTAATGACTCATAATTACTTAATATTATTAATATTTTAGTAAAAATTTGATTTAATATTTTTATTTCTTAATATTATTATATCATTGCTTCCTCGTATTGAGACTAAAATACAAGTCCTGCATACCCTACTAGATATCATAGTAAGTTATTGCTACATCTTAAATAACGTTACAAATTTCATATTTAGTTACATATTTTTAGCAGAAATAAAGTTAAAATTGTTGTATTTCCCCATGCAATGGAGCAAGAGACAAATTTTAAGAGCTATGCCAGAAAAGTAAAATTACAGGAGCACATGCATTTAACTTTGATTAGATGATTGTCCCTGTAATTTATATCAGGAATTATATTAAAATTGAATAAATGTAATTGTCTACTATGCTAGCTGTAACCGTAATTGCATCCTCTTATTACTTGCCAGTAATTTTCAGAAGCAGAAAGTACGAGACATATTTCGTGACGATTGAAATCTATAAAAGGCCAGGGAGAGAGTATTTTAGGCAGTTCCTTATTGTTGTTGCAGTTGCTTAATTCCGCATGAAGTGAGATATCTGAATTAGCTTTCTCTTTAGATATGCATTGCATTATATTATATTTTTAATGTTTTTAGTAGTTTGAAGTATAATTACTGATTATACTGCATGATATTGTGAACACTTGAACACGAACTCTGAGGAAAATTCAAGTGTTCTGATGTTTTTTTTTTTTTTTTTTTGATTAAAATAAATTTTATTAACCTATTATTTGATTTGTGCATTCAATCTATTACGAACCCTATACTCACAATTATAGTCACCAAATGCTGGAGAAGGTTTAAAATAACCTTTTATTCTAAATTGAACATAAAGGTTCAATTTAGAATATTGCTATAAGACAGAATAACTCGTGCTATAAGACAGAACTGCAAAACAGGCAATTAAATTCAAGTGTTGATTGATGAGGTAGTCTGAGATTACTCATTCAGTAGAATAAACTGTCTTAAAATATTTTACTGGCATGCAGCTTAAAGCATTGACTAGCAAGAATGCTAAAGTCTTAAATATTAATTTTAAGCAGAGCTGGGGAAAATATACTAACAGTGATATACTATTACCAGGAGCTCTCTCTTTGAAGATGCAAAACCCTTAGCTTAAATACCTTCAAAGCTAATTTGCATTCTTGTAGAGAATATGGAAAGGAGAAATTATAGTTAAGAGCAGAATTATAACTAATTATTTAACATAAAATACCTTACATGTTGATTATTAAACTAGATTATTCCATTGAAGGTTTAATAATTTTTTATCTGAATTTTTTCCTAACAAATTCGTCAGTTAGTTCAGAAGTATAAATGCACCCATATTTAACTGAACCATACAGTTTAATCTTTCATCTGATATCACATTTGTTAAATCGCTTTTTTACCCTTATTAAGACAGAGTCACTGTTAACTGGAATAATAAAAAATATTCTAAATAATTTCTACGTTTAAAAGAGTTGATACATTTCTCTGGTAGCATGTTAAATTTGTGCGACAGAAATAAATTTGTCTTAATTTTCTTTTTAAATAACAAATATTCCATTACATCATCAAAATGTATAAATATCTATATGATTTTTAGGAATAAAATTTTTATAGCTTGAGTTAATTTTAACTTTTCTATGCACATTTTTTCTCTGAATTCAACAAATTTAAATTGAAGAATATTTTAAAATTTTCTATGTTATATTTATATACAGTGCAAAGTCCGAAATCCGTACTCATAGGAACTTCAGCGACACCGGATTTGGGATTTTTCAGGATAATAGATCATCAATTTAAATCTGGTAAGATGCCATACAGAAATTATACAATTAAAAATATGAAATTGTAATTTATGAAATAAAGAACAATTATATTCTAAAGGGTATCAAAATTTTCAAAAAAAAAAAAAAAAAAAAAGCTTAATATTTATTTGTTTGCTTTATTAAACATTTCTTTCAATGTAAGTTCTTTAAGTTGCTTCCATAAAAAAATCAAAAAGTTCCTTTTTCAGTTGACTTTCCAATGCCATACTCCTCGCATAATTTTGAGACAGATTTACATGCCTTTATCCATTTTTTGCAGCAATTCCACTTTTTGTTTAAGGGACATCAAAACATAATTTCGCTTTGTAGATCCTTTGGTAGCTGCAGAACTGGAAACTCTTTTCGATGCAATCCAAAGTTCAAGCTTAATTTTTATAAAATTGCTGTAATAACAACAATCTCCAAAAAATAATAAGCTGGATTCAATTAGAAGATTAAGGAGCAGCACAGTCTGCTACTTAACTGAAATGCCTTAGAATGAGTTAAGATAATTTTAGTCTAACTTAATAGCGTCCATTATACATTATTGTCTGTGTATCGCAAGATTGACGCCGAAAGCCAAGTTGTTCTGCTAAATTTTGTCTTGCTCTTATTGCGTACTGAATTAAACCTGAATTGTATTCGTTATTTACTATACCTACGTTTATTTATTGCACATGCTTAAAACTAATCTGAGTCCTGAATAAATAAACTCCCACATATACTTAAGGCTTTATCTAGGGCCGAAACTAGATACCGCCTGGTGGAGTCTCTAAATTCTGCTACAAAGTGCCTTCCTAAGTTCTAAATTTTGGCCCCGCCTAAACTGGATGGAGCTGTAGGTGATTCAAACTTAAACAAATTGACACTATTTAAAGACGCTTTTGCTTCTCTTTTAGGTCTTGAGCAGGTAGGACATTTAGATTGTATGTATCCAGGAATTCCACACCCATAACATCGGATAGTATTTTTCTCTAGTGAAGCGTTCGTGTTCTTGGAAACTATATTTCCTGTTGTTTCCTAGTGTCTAGCTTCTCTAGCTATCGCAGTGGACTTTGATTTTCTATCTGATGTCTGGAACCTACTTCTAAAATTTGGTTTGTTAGATGGCCTGAAGCTTTCTTTAATCCTACTTAGATCTTAACGAATCTCTCAGATCGGAAGATGTTTTATTCTTAATTTGATTGCTAATAATTAGTTTTTTAAGCTGTTCAAAATAATTAATGTTAAGTTCTGTTATCCATCTTTCAAAGTATGATCTTATTTCAAAGTAGAAATTTCTCCAAGTTGTATCTGGGCTTTTATTATGTTGCAAAAAAAAAAAAAAAAAAAAAAAAAAAAAAACCTGTCTGAAACAGTCAGCAGTTGAGAAATTTTCTGCAACTCTAGCTGAAGTTTTAATTTTTCCAACTCGAACAGATGCTTCTTCTCAGTTTGTTGATCTTCAGCAGCTTTTCTTCATGCAAACGTTTTTCGGCTGCTTGTTTTTCACGCAAAAGATTTTCCTTTTCAGCTAACGCTAACCTCTCATTTTAGATCATACCGGATAATGGACGTCCGGATTTTGGACTTTGTACCGTACTTCATTCTGTGAGCAAATTTTACTATTATATTTTCGCAAATAATATTAAAGTAATTTAAAATAATTTTCATCCATTGAAAGTGATTTAGATCCTTCATTATATTCATAAAAAATTATGCTAGTACAACATCTGCTTCTGTTGACCATCTAATTTTTTACCATTAAATTATTTTCATAATTCTTCAGCTTTTTGCTCAAATTTGTTAGCAATGAGAGTAAGCAGAGAAAGAAAGAAAATAACTTTTGCACAAACATAAAATATTAAGCGGCAGCACTACAACTTTCTGCACCACAACTACCCATTAAATTTAAAGAATAACTTATGCGTATTCTCCTGGTTTTCTGGTTTGCTGCTTGGTCATTTGTTTGCCCTCTACAAAGTTTAATGTGTACACCTAATTTTGCTAAAGTGAATGCTATTATGTGTTGTTCCAAATGTGATGATGTATATTCTTCAATTAGTATTAACCCTAGAAACATTTTTCTAAAATCTCTATTTGATAATATGTATCCTGCACCAAAAAAGGGGGGAACTGTTCTATATCTCCCATTCTACTGGGCTAATTGACGAAATTCAAATTGCATTTTTCATGTCTCGAAAGTGTGACTTAGGATATATATTAGATTTATATACAGCATTGTTCTAACATAAGTATTTTGACACAAAATTGGATTTTTTCTGAAATAACATACCCATTTTTTTTCCATATTTCGATTCCGCAACTCAAATCATGCCTAGATATTAAATTTTGTAATTTTTGGTGAGAAATTTATGGAGAAATTTAAACATTTATCTTGGTGAATTTTTTTTACTAATCGCCAAGAATAATTCACTTGGTGAACTTCTTAATTTATAGCAACCTTTTTTTCTTTGTGCACGAGCGGGAAAAATATTCATCATTAATATTTTCAAATAATTTTAACAAAGTGCATACACCACATTTTCGTTATTATCGCTTATAATAAATATGCCAAATTTCAAAACACACCAAAATTTAAATTCATGTATATCTTAGGAAATTTTGAATTTAAAAAAAACTCAAATTTTTTACAGGTGTGCTTAGAAATACACTTTAAGGTGATGGCAAAAATTTATTATATTAATTTAGGTTATAATTCAAAATTGTGTTTGAAAAATGTATAAAAATTATTTGAAAATGCAAATTTTTAAAATAAATTGTAAAAAATTGGTGAATTTTATTTGGAATGAACCTAAATTTCGAAATATGAAGGGAAGAATCAAGTAAGTTCAATAAAAAAGGATATATTAATAAATATATAGCAAATTCAATTAACATTGAGGAGCCAAAATTTTGAGACCTAATATTTTAAAAACTACTTGTGCAGTTTTTACAAAATTTGGCAGTTTGACATAATTTGAGTCGTAGAAATAAAGTATGGAAAACAAATTGCCATGTCATTTAAAAAAAAGTCCACTTTTGTATCAAAATACCTATATTAGGACAATGCTATATATCCCAGGCAGCACGTTTCCAAAAATATATGTATAATTTTGGTGAAATAAGGTATGGTACTTTTTGCATGTTACTTTTACGAAATTTATTCACATAAAAAGGCTGAAGATACTGTTGACTGTTTATCATTATTTTCCACACTTTATTTTTACGAAAATTATATGAATCTAAATGTTAGCTGCTATAAAAAAATAATTGGCGATCTCGAAACTAACATTCTAGATTTGGTGATCTCCCCCTAAATTCATCTGTTCTCTCAAATTCTAGATTTTCCTGCATTACCTAATGCTGCTTGAAAAGGGCAACTAAAACTAATATTAAATAAATATAGCTTGTTTGTAGAATTGCACCTACTCTGTTATAAATACCTCTGGTGACCTAACTACATCTTAATTCTGCGTCACTATTCTGCTAGCTTCTTACCTTGCTAATATCTTCCCACTTCACTTCTCTAGAATGCATGCATCTTAATTTCTAAAAAACCAATGTGTATAAGTAATTATCATAATTGTATGATTAAAGAGTGTGTTGTTTATGAGGAATTATTCTAGTGTGCCTGGAAATTGGGAAATAAAGATGATAATTAGCTGGACTTAATTTGATATCAACTTCTCCCTCTCACCCTACAACTTAGCCATTGCGACTGCGCTTCAAAATTATGACATGTGTGGGGAGGACTGGGGTGGAAATTCTGGTTACAATTAAATGAAAGATATTTATGCATGTTAAGTTTTATCTTATTTGTGTTGCTATAGTGTATAATGAAAACTAGGTTTTTCCTGCCTTTATTTATGTTGCTATGCAAGTTTTTTTAAAGTGAGTGGGTGCCCTGCTAGCTAATTTAGGTATTCTGTATATAGTTTTTTTTTTTTTTTTTTTTAAAGGTGATGTTCTAGAAATACTCTTTATTTTTTGGTTGCCATAGTTGCTGCTGATAAATGTTTCAATATATCTTTTATATTTTGTATTTATAGTTTGTTTCCTTTCAATATATCTTTTACGATACCTATACCAAATAATTAGCTTCATATATTTTACTAATGTGATTGATTTTGAGGCTCAATTTCATGCTATTATCAGTTTACTGACTTTTTGAAAATACCGATTTTGATGTTTTTATTTTTTGAGATATTTCTTTGAAAGGTCCAAGAATAATTTTCAATTAATGGCTACTGAAATTCTATAAATCTTGAACTTCATTATATTAATAGCACATAAAGATACAGATTATACACTCAACGTGCTGTAACTGAATTACCTATAAGTTTCAACTTAAACAGTGTCTAGTGTCTAAAATATTAAAATATAAAAATTTTAAATAAAAAGGAAGACTATTCATACATATTATTTGTAATAATTCAAAATCTTTAAATGTGTTTTACTGTGTTAAAATCCATTGTATGATTAAAATTAATAATTTTTTTCATGACACACAATATATAATTATTACATAAAATTAGCAAAGCAACCATGTAATGGGTATTGTTCTGTTATCAGGACCAGGTCCAGAAATGTATGTTATATCTGCATGTATATATGGGTATATATGTTCATGTATGCACATATTTGTGTATGTACATACATATCTGTATGTGTACATGCAACATATATATATATATATATATACACATACATTCATAAACACATGTGCATATATACATACTCTTCTGAATCCAGCCCTTATAACAGAAGGATACCACTTTATCTTTGGTGTATATTTAGTCAAGACTATATTGATTTCAAGGTCAAACAGATAGAGATCCCTCTTTATCAGGAGCAGAGAAATCTGTAAAGAAGTAAAAGCCTCAATTGTATTTATACCCAAAAGGAGTAAAGCGAGCAAGAGGCAGGAACAATAACAAAAATTGGAGAAGGGGAAAAAAGGATTTAACTATTCATACTTTACTATTACTTGCTAACCTGCTGTTGTTTCTATTTCTGCCAACAAATGGTGCAATCTTCTAGTTCGTTTCTCCCCCTTTTGGTTATAAATACAATCAAAGTTTTCACTTTGTTGCAGATTTCTTTGCTCCTAATGAGGAGGGACCTGAACCTTCTGCCCTTGAAATCAATACAGTCTTGACTAAATATACACCAAAAACAAGGTTGTTGCTTTGCTTAATTTTATGGTTTACTTTAGTGTGTTTCTCCTCTGCCTTCATTTATTAGTCTAAATCCTTTCTTTCTACCCTTTTTTTTTTCTTTGAAACAGCTCTTCTTTTTTATTTATTTCTATTGCTTATGAGGTTTTGTGACAGGAAGATCAACCATGTAACCAATTTACTGCTATTTACTAACATTTAGTGACTTCTAATGCATCCGATCTTGCTTAAAAGTATTATTAATTAGTTTCAACATGGTTTTGCATAGAATTTGATGGTAATAATTTTAAGATCCTAAAGGAAGTTAGACAAAGTTCGATGTCTGACTGGTTTAGTCCCTAGTTGTAACATTTTAAATGATGGAATTAATTTACTTATATGAAAAACTGTTAACTTCTAAAAGCATGTTATGCAATTGAACAATTAACTTTTTTTTTGTTTTTTTTTTGCAGAAAGAAATTAGAATTTTATTTGGATGTTTATATAAAGAATGGCTCCACGTAACTCCATAAAAAGAGAGGTAGATGATTTGTCATCTGACTGCTCATCTGATTCCTTTAGGAAAAGCAGCAAGTCCAAAAGGATGGGATCACTAGATAAAGAGAGTGAAGAGTACAGAAAACGCAGGGAAAGAAACAATTTAGCTGTAAAAAAATCTCGCTCCAAAACAAAGTTGAAAACTCAACAAACTGTAGAGCGTGTGAATCAACTGCGAGAAGAAAATGAAATGTTGGAAGCCAAAATAAAAATTTTAACTAAAGAGCTCAGTTTTTTGAAAGATCTGTTCTTAGCTCATGCAGGTAGTGCTCATGGACAGAATTTGACTGATGTAGAACTGAGTTATCTAAAAGATGAAATGGATCACAGTGCTGTCATTGCGAGTGCCAATGGTTCTGCAGAAAGTACAAATGCTTCCATTTAATGTGATTTCATTATTAGTTCCTTACGTTTTATTGTCTTTATTTTGCCATTTCACTATTTCTACTTTATTTTGCCATTTCACTATTTCTACTTTATTTTTTAATTTTATTCCATGTTTTGTAGTTGAAAAAGTAGTATTTTTTCCTTCCCCTTCTTGCTAAGATAAATATGCGTTCCATTGATGAATTTTCCCTCCACATTTTTTTATTTTTTGCCTCTCATCAACATAATTGTATTTTTTCTTTGTGTATCATGCATTCTTTTCCATAGTTTGATTTAAAATTTTTATCCCCCCCTTTTTGTTAGAAGTGTGTAACATTTGGAGTTTTGAAAGATTTTACTTTGTCTCGGTGAAATGTATAGATTTAATGAATATTAAGTAACTGCTTTTAGTATTATTTAAAAGATTGTATGAGAAAAAGTTTTTTATGTTACTGTTATTTAATTCCTTACATATACATCATTTGTTTAACTAAATTTTGCTAAAAGTTTGAAATTATTATATATTTATTTATAGACTATATACCTGCAGCTGATGCATTTCTGGTGAAGAATCAGGAAATTAAAATTCCGGTATATTTCAATACATTTTGCTGCACTCTAAATTGAAAGCAAATTATCATGGAAATATTTTAATCTTATAGCTTTTTTTTTTTTTTTTTTTTTTCAAGTATGTCATTCTTGATTTAAGATAATGTGGATAAATGGTTTCATCAGGGTTCTGATTATTTTAAATACTATTGTGAGTAGTATAAAAAAAAATGAGCTTCTTTATTGATTGTGATGCTTTGTTGTGATTTTATGCTTAATATTTTCAAGTTTCAGTGTATTAAAATTTATTCAGTGTGTGTTATGTGGATATTTAGTCAAAATTTTAGTAGTATTTTACATTTTAATTTCTTACGACCTGCATTAATTTTAAAGTTATTTAAATATCAGAAGCCGGTTATAAATTAGAAGATGTATAGTGCTTCAAAGTGGTGTACTCCTTTTTTCATAATCAGTTTTTGTTACCTGTGTAAATAAGGTAAAGCTACTTTTTTTTTAATAATGTTGCATTAAATTTGGAATTCTGATTATTTTTTTTTATTATTATTCATATGTCTTTTAAATATTTTAAGTTTCATCTGAAGCTTTGTTATGCAATTAGATGGCATGCAGATGAGTTTAAAATGTCCTTTTGTGATTTAATGCATAACTTGTTATGGCCTTAACAGTATTAACTGAAATCAGGTTTCCCTTACCCCTTTTTGGCTAACACTGAAATATCCTAATTCAAACTAAATAAATAAATTTCAAAGAATTCAATTTTTCATGCATAATTATGTTTATTGATTACTAAATGGATTGAGTAAAATTAATTAGATTAACATAATTTTTAATAAAATTAGATACAAATAAAAAGAAGTATTGCTTTCATATGCTTAAGGGTGCAAAAACTATAATCTCATTATTAGGTTGGAATTGCTGATTTTTTTTATTAACAAGAAAATCATGATTGTTTCATAGTAATGAAAGATTATAATTTAAAATTTGAAACTGCATGCAGTGCAATACTTAGGTGAATTTAAAGCACATTATTTTCCAAACTGTCAAAGTACTCTAAGGAAATCTTGACAGTAATTCTTTTTAAGGACATTATGTGGAGTTTTTGAGTCATTATTAAGCATCTGTGGGAGACTAGTTGTGTAAGTTATCTATTTTTCTGTGTAATATAAATGTTATTAAATGTAATTAAATACCCTATCACAGTGTGGTCCAACCTTTAGTTACCTGAGGGCCAATCAAATGTTCATAGAGGAGAGTGAGGGCCAGAGACATTAAAGAAAAAAATGAATTACATATAAATCACTAATTTAATATATCACTTTATTTTACAGTCTAGAAATCAATGTGATGTTTGGCACTACTTTTTTGATACATGTTTATCAATGTCCACTGTAATTTTAGTAAGGCAAAATCTCAGGTCGATTCCAGTAAAGCACTTTCAATGAGATTTCTTGTTTTTGATTTAATTTGTTTGAAAGCAGAAAAAGCATATGTACTGCCAAACAGCGATAACATTTGCAAAGAGAATTTATGCAGTTTGGGAAAACGTTCTTTAGAAATCACTTTCTAGAAATGTTCAGTAACATCACAGTTTTTAGTCTTGTAAAATAGATCTGCCTGAAGATCACAAATTTCCATTTGAAGGTCGCAAGGTACCTCCCTCACTTCAGTGTCCATGGGGTTGTTTAACAATGAAAGTTTTGTTTTTAGGGAGTCAAAATCCTGGAACTCTTTCTTAATATCGGTAATTATTTCATGTATCATACTAAAATTTGTGTCATTTTCTTTCAGCTGCTGTCAAAATGGGAAGTCTTCTGTATTATTTTTCCTTCAGAGCAATTTGCATTACATCATGTTTTTTGCAGAAAAAGTCTTCAATATGTCCTTAAAGCTGGGATATATTTTGTTTTTTGCCTTGTAGTTTCAAATTTAAAGCATTTAGACAGGATGTTAAATCTGTCAGAAAAACAAGATTATTTAAAAACTGAATTTCTTCCAATTTTTCTTGATATTCGGGCCCAATGTTTTCTTTTTTGAGGAAAGCAAGAATTCCATTCCTTAACCCAAAAACCTGTTGAAGGCAATTTCCAGCACTTAGTACAATGAAATTGTCACTATACTCAGCATCCAAATTGTCTACAAATGCAATAAATGCTCTGTCTCTGGGCTTTTCCTCATTAAATTTACAATATTTACAACAGTTTTCATTGTCTCACTGAGCCTTATAATTTTTCCACAGAGAGCCTCCTGGTGGATAATGCAGTGGAAAAACAAACAATCTATTTCTTTTTCTTTACACATTCCTACTAAACCAGTTCTATGACCAACCATTGCTTTAGTTCATCTGTTGCAATGCCAGATCACTTCCTGAAACCTCCATATATAGAAATTGCATTATCCAGTGCATTGAATATATGCTTTGGTACTAGTTTCTAATGATTTTAATTCCAACAGTTCTTCGTGGATTTCAAATTCTTCATTTATTGTTTTGGCTAAGATAAGGAGTTGGCTGATGTCACTATATCTGTACTTTATAATTACTTTACAATTCGTTCTGTTTATTATTATTTAAAGCAGTAAAAAGGGTCTTTTGTTTTTCTAAATGTTTGACTAACATTTTTTTTCCAGTAAGATGGGCAAGTGCCAACAAAATGAATAAGAGGGCAGCGGGTTGGACCATGCTGCCCTAGAACATAAAATGCAACACACCTAAAAGGATTTATGCGAATGGGACGGAAATCAATAGATTTGATGTACATATATTGAAAACAGAATGCTGACAAGATAATAGGAATTGAATGTTTTATTCAGGAAATGTAGCTGCAAGAGCCGCCCCCCCCCAAAAAAAAAATCAGTAATGCATTGGTCCACCTCTGAACTTGATGCAGATTATTATTTGGCTGTGCATTCTCAGATTGTTATTTGGCAGATGTCCTCCTGCAAGTTTGCTTGCCATACATGTTCTGATTGGTGAGTTAGATCTGCAAAATCAAGAAAATGGTCGAAGGTAGCTGCTCATCAGAACCCAAATGTGCACTGCTGGAGAGAGATCTGGCAATCATGCTAGATACAAAAGTGTGGAGAAGTGCAAGACAAGCAGTAGAAAATTGAGCTGTGTGCAACTCAACATTATCTTCTTGAAAGGTAAGCCCAGGGTTTGTGAAAGGAAGGGCAACACTACAGGGCACAGCATCTCTTCCACAGATGACCCTGCTGTTATGGTGTGACTGATGAGAACCAAAGAGGTCCAGCTATTAAATGAAATGGCACCTAATACTATAACTTGTAGCTTTTGGGCTCTGTGGCAGGTGACAGTCAGATGAGTATCCCATCGCTGTCTTAGATGTTTCCATACACAACTTTGATGGTCACCAGGGCTCATTCTGAAATGGAACTCGTCTCTGGAAACAGTTCTGAGGTATTAGATTGAATGCACCTGGCACCATTGCAAACTTGCAAGGTGGTGTGCAATTGCGAGGGGCAGTCAACTCAGTGGCCTCTTTGATTTCAGCTTCCATTTACTGATTCATGTGTCAATGATCATTGCAGTCACTGGTGTCTCAGTAACACATCAGATCATTGATAAGGACACATCAGGGGTTGCAAGGGCTGATCAGATTATCACTCTGTTCTCACCGTCTGTCATCGCTTCCAGTCAACTGCTACCTTCTTGATGCTTTATACAGCCATGGTTCAACCATCCCTGTCAACATCGTCAAATGGTAACATTGCTTTGGTCCAAATGCCTAATGATCCTGCAATTAGACCACCCTTACTCCTTTAGTCCTGTTACATGTCCTCTCAGACGGTGATATTAGCTTTGTAATGTCGCCAAACCTATCTGCGAGGCATTAATACAGTCTATTTAGGTTGATGAAACTGCATTCACATGGAAGTTACTTCTTAGAATTGGATTATCATCTGTTTTATACACCATCCAGATGTGCCATTGTAATGCGCTGGAGCTTTAGCTGTCAATTTTTAACTGCCAAAATGTAATCATTTGCATATTCTATCGTAAAAT